CCCATGTTCGTAGTAATACCTGTCCCCGTGCTTAATGTGGTAATATTGGATACCAAGTATACAGGCAAAAGTAGGCCCAACATCAGCGTCGGGGAAATGGCGCTCAGATATGCCAGCGATATATAGATCGACATCACTCCACGACCTCAACAAACAAAACGAAAATCATTTCATAATCTAATTAATTGATTGAAAACTATTATGTAATCGATTGAAGCGTTTAATACTTAACACCAATCGTATAATTACGTTATAAAACGCAAATGTTATATCACGTGAACAAAGTATAATCACAATAAAAACTGTGTCCAGAATTGAGTGAAATTCGTGACTTACTTATACAACTGTCGGAACAGATTCACGTAATTCTCGGGTATAAACAGCTTTAAGTCATCCCATGAGCGCACCTACGGATAGCATACGAGTAATTATTTGTTATAATTTTCTTTCTATACCCCTCTCTCGCATATACAGTATGTGTGCCTTATTTGCCAAATAAAATCTCGTTTGTGTTTTATTTTTGTTCATTTAATTGCTAATAATGTAATGAAAATTAAATAATAATCCCCTCATTAATAAATAATGAGTTCGGATTTGCGAGTGTATTATGTGTGCCATAAATAGCCTTATATTTTATACGCGATTATCATTTATACCGTTAAATACGATACCACTTACTTCGAAACCGAAACAAAAGTTAAGGTAATTAACATAGGAGGCAATGCCGTGATCCCGGCCCCGGGCTATGTTACGGGAGATGAGGTCCGAGCCAAACAAATCGCCCTTTTTTCGCATCAAATAGTTGGTGATGTCGTCCGTATAGTACGGGTCCACAGAATATGACAGATCGCTGATCAGGCCCTTCACCACCGCATCCGTCTGTGTCGTCCCCATGATTTATGTCAAGTATTTGAGCGCAAAATTAATCAAAATATGTCTTATTTTTTCCAGTCGTATATAATTTATATTTAAATTCAATACATAAGTCATACGTAAGAAGATTTAAGAAATTATTCAATTTTTAAATTAAATTTTTTTGTGCTTTTTGTATGCAATTTATTTTAT